TTGTCTGCGATCTAAAGCAGCTAAAGGCGTAATTTTTGGCGTATGCATAGAGCAACCTTAGCTTTTTCATCGGTGTAAACTTCATTTTGAAATTGTTTGAACTTTTTGAGTTAGACGCTATAACCCAGGGCGCCCTGCAGCGCCCTATCTTTCCTGCGTCCAAGGTGTAGTTTCGATGCAGTTTTTCGGGAGCCATACCTAATGTTTTCAATCAGCTTTTTAGCAAACTTTCCTTAGTTGGAACGATGTGAAATTTACACCAATTATTACTCTTGGTTTAAAGTTTGCTATGATGTACTTTTCAGTGAAATCGATATTGCCCTGGCAACGATAAACAGAAAACCTCGAAATCAGTTAAACTTAAATTTCGCGCGATCCAGATTTCATCTGGAAAAGCCCATACCAACGAGGCTTGATACCAACATCTTAAACTATGGTGTATAGCAAATAAAATATATGAGAATAAAACAAATATGTATGTTTGATTTCGAATATAAAATATGCAAAAAATATTTCAAAGCTTAATTGTTGCATAATAACAGTAAATGGACCGAGAGATTTACACTATTTTGATAACATTACTTCGGAATTATGCCAAAATGTGTCTTGAACTTATGTTTTCACGCCATGCCGGAAAAGTTTTGTTGATTTTCATTTTTGCGATCCCGAGAACTCGCATTATCGGGTAACTTTCGATTTTGCGCGCTTTTGCAAACGTCTTAAAAAGTTAATGCGTACGACATTCCCCCGTGATTTGTACGGGATAATAACAAAAAGAAAAAAACAGAAATTAACAGAAGAACGATGTATTAAGCCCCTTCTACACGAGCAAGTTTTCCTTGACAAGTTTTCCTTGACAAGTTTTCCTTGCTCTTGTGGATAAACAACAAATTTAATTTGAAAAGTTTTTCCTTGACAAATTTTATTTGCTCGTGTGGACGATAAACAATTTTTCTTTGACAATTTTTCTTTGTAACAACAATAATATTGTACAATATTAACTGCTCCTTTTGAAGTTAGAAGTGAAAATGTCCCTACATTTCTCGCAAACAAGGAAAACAATAAATATTGTAGGTGTTCCATAGAACATTTATGGAACATTTAGTAGATTGAAAATTGAATTTTTTGATTTTATTTATTCAATAATTTATGACTGGGTAGCCCTATATTGAGGGAAGTAGTTCCTGTTCAGGGTTTTTTCCTTCAGTACTTGCAACTTTTTTGTTGTTAAACTATTAAAGTAAAAGTAAAAAAAAAGTAAAAGTATTATGTTTTTCAACGATGTGGTGTTATCGCTCCAACGAACGATGCTGCTATTTGCCGCCATGACAGATCTTTATTAAATAGGATCCAGGTCGCGAGCAACAAGCTATAAAGGTCGCTGGGCACCAGGGATTGCTAGTCATGTTTTCCTAGTCATGTTGTCCACACGAACAAGATTCGCAACTTGGCAATTTTTCCTTGACAAGTGTCCTTGTTCAAAAACTGGCTTGCCAGTTTTTGAACAAGGGCACTTGTCAAGGAAAAATTTGCCAAATTTCCCTTTCCACACGAGCAAGGAAAACTTGTCAAGGAAAACTTGCTCGTGCTTAATTACAATAAAATTAATCAGGAAGGCATGCAGTACGCATTGATTTGAATACATTAGCTTGACGTGTCTGAACCATGAATTTGTAACGCAAACTTTCCGTGGTTTCTTACGTCATCTTCAATGTTAAATTTAAAAGTGTTCCAGTAAATCAATGCTAAAAAATATTTGGCATACAACCATTTACATTATACAGAATTCGAGAAGAAAGTTCGAAAAAAATATATCGAACAATTTTTAAGATTTTTGCCGCAAAAGCGCTCAAAATCGAAAATTACCCGAAAACTATAATTGCAGTGACCAGTTCTCAGTATCGCGAAATAGAAAAGTTCAAGACACATTTTGGCTAACTAATTCTGAAGTGATTTTATCAAAACAGTATGTATCTCTCGGTCCATTTACTATTATTATGCAAAACGTAAGAATTGAAATGTTTTTGCAATTTATTCGAAATCAAACATACAGATTTTTTTATTATCATATATTTTATTTGCTACATGCCATAGTTTAAGATGTTGGTATTCGCTTTTCCTGGTGAAATCTGGATCGCGCGAAATTTAAGTTTGACTGATTTCGAGGTTTTCTGTTTATCGTTGCCATAGCAATATCGATTTCATTGAAAAGTACATCATAGCAAACTTCAAACCAAGACGTTTCACATCGATCCGACTGAGAAAAGTTTGCTAAATAGGTGATTGAAAACATTAGGTAGGGTTCCCGAAAAACCGTATCGAAACACCTTACTTGCGTTTTACATATTGGTACATTTCTTAGCCGTACGTTCTCTGCAAAACAAGAGAACAACTGTGTACTGACGTCTATAGTGTCTAACTCAAAAAGTTCAAAAGCGTTTAAAATGAAATTTACACCGATGAAAAAGCTAAGGCTGTTCTATGAATACGCTGAAAATTACGCTTTTAGCTGCTTTTGATCGCAGGCAATTAACTTCTGTCTTTTCCCGCTCAAACTAAAAGAGCAACGAGTTCGAAGCAGTTCGACTTATGTTAAATAAAATTGTTGTTGATTTTACATATTGAACCCGTTATTTATTGCATACAGCTTTACAAACATGTTGACATGTAAATTCTGCAAAACCTAAGTGGAAATCCCGTACCGTTTTCTTGTAGCAATCCATTTTCTGCATCAGCTATTGAACTTCATTTGACGACATATTTTGAACTCTTGAAAGCGCTCAGTCTCGCTCCGCATCAAACATCGCACAACTGAGCGCAGTGCGCGTTCACCGCCCATTCTTTCCTGCGCCCTGATGAACTGATGGAAAGAAGGACCCTGGTAGTCTAGAACGTACAGGACAGATTATGCTTAGGTCAGTAGCGGGTCTCATTAGAAGTCTACCTACTAAAAAACGTCTACCTAATTCTATTATTCTACCTCATTAATTCAGTATAGTTTTCTGGAAATTTCTCAAACTGATTAATACTGAATTCAACAAGTTAAGACAAAGGAAATTATAACCGTGACAGTGCGGTGGTTTGGATACCTGGTCTTAATTAGCATAAATCTACGATTTTATTTCTCCAGTTTTTATTTCGATTGAGACGATACGCAGTCAAATGCTTGAGACAGTGTTTCATCCGATTTCCAAACACCGAGCAATTTCGTCAAAAAAGTCTGCTGCGCGTCGTATTTTCAACTCTCTTCTAGCTCGGTGTTTGGAAATCGGATAAAACACTGTCTCTGGTGTTTGATATATTACATCCTAATGAGTCTTTTCAAATTGGAAGAATAGCTGCGAATATTTTGGCATGAACTGAATCGAATTCCGTTCAGTAAAATTATAGCTATTTTGCTGAGACAGGACTAAACTTGTCGTATTTACCATCATTCCCCCACCACTATGTGTCTAGCCGTACCGTACCGTACTGTACCTTTTCTTTTTCTTTCACTCCCACAAGTAGCTTGCCGATACTGTAGATGATATTAAGGGGGACTGGTATTGGATCATAGCCATCGTATGTCTGAATTGCAATCGCTCGTTTGATTGACCACTGCTTGAACGAGTTGTCCTTAAAAGATTCAGATATGAACGCGTTAATCAATATTTTTTTAACTTGGACTTGGACGCTAGCTATGGCGTTAAAATAAGGTTAACCCTATTCTGCCTGGGCTTTTTTTTCGTTCGAGAGCCTGGGGGGGGGGGGGGGGGGGAGGGGGTGGGGTGGGTGGGCAGAAAGTGCTTCCCCTCTGTATTTCAGTGTTGACACTATGAAAATGAAACTTATATGGTGTGTAAAGTATCCAAAATTTTTTTTGTGACAGTCGCGTGTCAATTATGACGTTAAATCATGCTATAATGACGTCATACATTTAAAAAATCCGCCATGTTGGATCCTTAAATCTTGGATTTCTAAATTGTTCAGAAATGTCAGAAAATCTATATAAATATATATAAAGATGCTAAAACGGCAAAGAATTTGGAAGGATTTCATCGTAAAAAGCGAAATTTTCATGAAAACGGAAATTAAGCAAAAACCCCCACCAAATTTGGGTAAAACGATCTGTATCTCGAAAAGTATTCATGCTATAAAAATGAAACTTATGTGGTGTATAAAGCATCCAAACATGTTTATTTTAGTGACAATCAATTATGATATCATATCGCGCCAAAATAACGTCATACTTTAACAATATCCGCCATCTTGGATTTCTAAATTGTTCGGAAATGTCAGAAAATCACCCATCCTCGGAGACCCAGGGGTAGTTAGTCGGGCGCGAAGAAAGTTATAATCGGCAAAAGTCGGAGCGGCGAAAGTTCGAAGTAGCTGTGAAATAACCCCTGGGTAGCGACTCTTATCGCACTACTTCCAGAAACATTTGAATACACGGTCTCTGATTGGGCAGAACATTTCTGGCATTGTATTTTTCTGCCCAATCGACGAGCTACATCTATTGCGCCACTTTTCGTGCCTTCTTACACGATGTTGTTTACGTTGCCAAAGAAAGGAAGAAACTTTTCGTAAAAAGCAGAAATCTGAAGATTAAGCTGAAAACACCACATTTGTGTAAAACGGCCTGTCAAAACTTGGTTTCCATGGAAACATAAAGTCACGTGATCAAAAAATTGACGCACCAAAATGTTGCCAGATAATTTTTAGGAAAAGTCATAAAGGTTGGCTATGATAGCTTGAATGCTCTTTAAGTACGATAAATTTGAAATCAGCGCGGGCACTTTCTGTCCCCCTTCCCAAGACAGAATAGGGTTAAGGTTAAGTCCGTCTACATAGCATGGAGTGAATAGAAGTATCGTTACTCTCCTGGTTGGGATGCCAGTCTATCGCAGGATCCCAGCATTTTGTCAGGTTGCGCTGACAATTTGCTGGTCTCCATTTATATTCCTGGGTGGAGAGAGGCACTGTGAGAGTTAAGTGTCTTGCCCAAGAACACAACACAATGACCCCTGCCAGTGCTCGAATCCGGACCACTCGATCCGGAGTCCAACGCGCTAACAATTAGGCCACAGCGTCTCCCATTCAACAAAATAAGAAAATGTAATGTCTGCCTGGCTTAGCATGAAACGACTAGAAGTATTTTCCCTAAGCATTTTATCAGGTTGCCCAAATGGTTCACCGGTACCCATTTATATTCCTGGGTGGAGAGAGGCGCTGTGCGGAGTAAAGTGCCTTTCCCAAGAACACAACACAACATGATGACGGCCAGGACTCGAATGTACAACGCGCTCACCATTAGACCACTGTGCCTCCCACAGAAGATAATATTCTACTGTAATTCACTTACTTTCAAGAAGATTTCTTCTCAATAATAAAAATAATAATAATATAGCAATAATAATAACTTTATTTGAGTGTCAGTATTCAGCTATACAGCTAATGGAGGACACTAAATACAAAATAAAAATTTCAAAAAATTAAGGAAATAAATAAATAAATAATCAATGGCTAAAATATTTTATAATGAGGTATATAACCTTTTAACCCCTTTAAATCCCTTTAACTAAAATATCTATGTACAATTATATATACACATTTACAACATAAAACTGGACAGGTCTAGTTTTCTAATATTGCTCTTGAATGAGCTCAAACTCAATTCGTCGGAAGAGAAGAGAAATACGTCGGGATTCGAACCCGCGACCTCCCGCTCTGCATTCTGGCGCCCTACTAACTGAGCTAGCCAGGCGGCGGTTGTCAGCCTTACCAGTGTTCGCTGATACGTGTTGGATAGCAAGGCTATCAGCATATTAATAAGAAGGATGGCTCCAAAGATAAGAAAGGTAGCGTAGAACAGTCGGGCGAGAGTCTCTGAAGGAACATCCACGGACGTCATATGATCGGACTCCTCTGATACCCCCAGCAGAGTCCAGCCCAGGTGATTGATTATCGTCCACCAACTGCCAAATAAAGACAATGAAATCACGTAATTATAGCCAAATTAAAAAAAAATTACCCGAGAACGCAGATGTCGCTTTTCGAGCCCCTCACTCCCTTCATCCAAGTGAGACGTCTCAGATTTAAGCAGCCTGTTCCAGGTTCCCAGATTCGTTTCTCAAACAAACCGTGGGAGCCTGGAAAATGCTCAGTTTCAAGCCGAAAATGTCCACACCAACACACCAATAACGTTCAAAGATCCGTGTAGTGTGTCTGATTGGTTGTTACGAGTCACTACACGTCATTAGACGTGTTTTTCGGTTTGAATATCAGAGGTTTCTCTTGGTGATGAAAGAAGTGAGGCAATATAGAGATAAATAAACAATAACCTCCATTTGGCGCGAAAATGTGCACGGATATTTGTCCGCGGACATGATCTGTTCCGAGAAGCGAACAGTTTTCCGAGAGCGAAGCTCGAGGAAAACTGTGAGCTACGAGGAACAGATTACGTCCAAGGACAAATATCCGTGCATATTTTTAAGCCAAATGGAGGCGATTGTGCTTATTATCCTTCGAATATTTCTACCCAAGGCCAGCTCTTTTTAGGAGATCTACGCCAAGCTGATAAACGTAAAAATAATTATGTTAGCGTTCAAAAATATTGCTATGTGTGTTCAAAACATTCTGTTCTATTCAATTTAACAATTTATTTTGCACGAAAACTGAACGTGCGGACGCAAATTTTGAAAACTGGGGAATATCACGTGGTGAATATCACCGGATATTCCCCAGTTTTGGCTGCGTCACGTGACGTGTTTAGACCAATCGCGCGCGAGAAAAATATTTGATGGATAATAAGGATCGATATTTCTGATATTTTAGATGAGTTTCGTGGGTGCTGGAATTAGCCGTTTTACGCAAGCTACAAATTTGATTATTCATTCCTTTTTCACATTACGAGCAGAAGAAATGGGAATAGGACAACATTCAATAACAAAAGCGGCATTGAGAAGCAATGAAATTCGGAACAGTCAAGTCAGTCAATTTTCAAGTTCTTTAAAGCTGTAATCGTCGACAATTTTTATCACGCGGACAAAAAAAATACTCGCTGTTACTCATCCAACAACTTTCGATTGTATGGATTATATTATGGATTAATTATTACCAGTTAGTTTTCTGGAATCCTTTTTAAAAACGTAGCTAATCAGTTATTATGTTTACGATATTTCTGTTGGCTCACGAGGCCTATCCGTAACAGGCAGATTTTGCCACAGCGGCTCAGTGCAGGGGAAGGTTTCGTTGTTGACGCTTGCTGGCGGGTTCTTTCATCCCTTTTCTCCTCAGCAATGGCTCTTCGGTCGTTCTCAAAGAAGGAGGCTGCTTGACTGACTCTCTGCCTCCATGTATAGCGATCTGCAGCTTGAGCTTCCCAAAGGCGATAATCAATGTTACAAACAGCGAGGGACTTTTATTTATTTACAGTGCAAGAAAAAGTTATTTTTGCGCGCACTCGGCACTTACCATGAAGGTCCGGAGTTTTTACAGGCGCTGAAAAAATATACGAAATGGTTAGTAATCATGTCAGTTTTCAGCAAGCTGTCCCTTTCTAAAGGGTATTTTACTAGAATCGATACTAGAA